TTCATATGACAAACTTAACGTTTTCTCAGTTCGTATATTCCATTCGTTCGTTGTAAAGTACGCAAGAATTTGATTAAATACGAAAATTTTCCTTTGTATTTTCAGCAATCTGAAAAAGTGGTGTCAAATCGGTTCAGTGGATATGTCGATCATGCATTTCGTTTCTGCGTTTTCATTGTGAGAGAAACAGTGAAAAAAAAAATTGCATAATGTTTCTCTTAAAATTCAGAAAATTGTCCTGCATTTCAAAAGGAATATTTTGCAATGCTTTTCTGGCGTTTCTCACATAATAATAAATTAAGAAAACTCGCATGAACAATATTACAATTGTTCCAAGTTGTCCCCCGGTCTCTCTTACATATTCAAGGGAACTTCGCCTTCCGTTTCAATAGCGAATATATTCCTGCATGCGCTTGCAAAATCGATCAATGCAGAAACTGCAAGATTTAGATCTCACCTCGGTTGCCGGCCTGACAATCGTAGAAATCCGTCAATGACCAAGGCTGGCATTACATGGAACATTAACACTAACAGACGGTAGAAGAAGTAGCTCTTTATCAAGCGCACGTTAGGAGTCCAGATGATATCCAGAAGATACTTTTTCAAAGCGTTCATACCAATCTCCAACACCATCGAATGCGTCACATTCATAAATTGGTTATTCGCGCAGTGGTACACAAGTGGAAGATCGTTTCGCGTATTACTGGTAAAAATTGAAAACATCTCGTTACCTTGACTTGGCCGACAAAAAGCTAGGTAAATAATATGCAAAAACTGCTCGTATTTTTTTCATTCTAAAGATCTTTTCGATTCTTAAAACAGTGCACGATATTCATTTGGAATATCATAACTTACGTCATTTTCGTTGCACGCTTCCACGCCGCAGCGATCAAAATCTTGGTGACGACATCTATCACCGGTAGGTAATTATTCCGTATGTTTGGATCCGTGTGTAGCACCTTCAGTATTCCTTTTCCAACAGCGGTAAATAATGCCACCGGGCCGTTGAAATTGTCTATCCATCCTTTCACAGGTTCTTTTAACGTTGAGCCGACTAAATCGAAAGATAATTTGTGAAGAATATTTTTTTAACGGCAATGAAAATAAAGATTCGTGGCAAAAAGCTCGACTGAAAACATATGAGCTTTCGGAAATATAGAGGAGACCGTGTAAAAAGAAAGTTTTGAAAAGTCATCATCTCTGAGGAGAAACGTGACATTTTTTAATTCATTTTCGTTGTATGAAGTTTGATCTTCAGCAGTAGAGAGGATATTAACGCGTTAACATTACTTTTTCTCATTGAAAAATGATTAATGTAAAATCTAAAAGTTATTTATATTTTACGAGATTCTGTGCACGAGAATTTAATTAGAAGAGAATATTCAATGATGGCAACGCGTCACGCCACAATTGCACACAATGGTATGTTCTATAGTTGGAATATGTATATATTTGTTCGCAAAACTGTACTTATAGACGGCCTGTAAATTACGCATGGTAACGTTCCAGAGTAATCGGTTATCACTTGTTCCGCGAGCTTCTTAGTAAATACATAATGATTTGGTATCGTGCCTATGTACCTGCAAATAATTCCACTTTAAGGTATTTTCGATTTCGATGAGAATTACATTATTCTAAATACTACGAACGATTGTTGACGATGTTGAATAAGTATCGTCTCAGATAAGTTTATTTGTATATCAATATGAGAATTGCGTTATAAAATCATTCTCTCAAATATATTATGAATTATTCAAACACACAGTATATATTTAATACGTTATACACGTATATATGGTGTGCACATCGAAACAACATTTCATGCTTACTTTGCTTTAAACCCCTCCAATATATCTTCATCCAAAGTCTCGACAATATGAATTGTTTTCCTCCAATCGAATTCTATTGAATACACAATTTCATCAATGACTAATTTGTCGATTTGAGCGTAAGCTGTGCTGACGTATACTAGAACCTTGAAGAAGTAAAGATCGGATATCTGGTAGTTAATATCTCTGTGCAATTGGATTTAACGCAATTTCTCATAAAAAGAAAAATTAAAAATCACTTTTTCACTCACACATGTGCACACGCTAAAATTCTGTTAAATATTCATTGTTAAATATTTACTATGAGATTTTTCATTCGTTCGCTTAAAACGCAAATATCCCTCGTTGCTCGCACATTCTTGAAGACAGCATCTTTTAAAGTATTATCGAATTTCACATTTGCCGCTATATGGAATGTGACGGATGTCTTCTCGATTAAGATGTTTCTGTCGACAGTTGACAAACCTAAGCCCTCAAGGGCAATGTCACCATCTACGGGAATCAATTTGTCGAAACGATTGGATTGCTCATGCCGCAGTGTATCAAATAACTAAAGCAAACAACGCGTGATTAAATGATACTACGAGATCGCTGGTCACATCTGCGGAAGTTACCGGGTTCGCTAGCAGCTGTCGAAGTCTCTCGTCTAAATTCGCACCTCTCTTCGGGCGTATTAATAAAAATATCTCTCCTAAATCGGAACACGATCTCAACAGTTTTTCTATCAACACTTTCCCTACGTATCCTGTAGCACCCGTAATAAAAACGTTTCTTCCAGAATAGAAAGCCGGTATCGAAGTAGTCTAATCTATTACGTTTTTCTCCATGTCCTAAAATTTATAATGATACTCGTGAAAAATGACCAGAAAGCTTTTATTAGTATGGAAAACAGAAGACGCGTAAATATTATATGTGGTAACTATATCCTTTTTTTATTTAGGAGCAGAGAAGATCAATAGATGCATTTGAACGCGATATACAATAGACAACAAATAGTAGCAGTTTATTTCGCTTCTGACTGTAGCTTACTTATAACTGCAACGTTATATAGACGTCGCTCACACATCAATATTCACATTATAATAGAATATCGTATTAATCCACAAGTCATCCATTTATGTATTCAATGTTTTTCCGATGCATATACCAAGTGTAGAAATATGAAACCGGAATTTTTTTGTAAAAATTACACGTCTGTTGTTTGAAAATGATAAAAAATATTTTATTCAAAATAATGTCCATTGTTATTTATACATTTTTCCCACCTCTCCGGCAGTTTATGAATGCCACGCCAAAAAAATAATTCTTCTTTTGAAGCGAACCAGCTATCGAGCCATTTTCGTACATTTTCATACGAATTGAAGCGTTGTTCAGCGAGAGCGTGTCCCATTGATGCGAATAGATGATAATCGGACGGAGCCAAGTTTGGAGAATAAGCCGCATGCGTTAGTATTTCCCAACTGAACGCCTCGATCGTTTCCCTGACCCGTTTTGCTGTGTGTGATGGGGCATTATCATGGAGCAAAATGACTGTGTTGCCTTTTTCCATATTCCGGTCGTTTTTCACGCAATGCTCGATTTAAATCGATCATTTGCTGTTGGTAGCGATCAATGTTAACGGTTTCACCAGGTTTTAGCAGCTCATAATAGATTACACCCTTCTGATCCCACCAAACACAGAGCATTGTCTTCTTTCTAAAACGATTGCAGTGGATGTCGATGGTTCGCCTGGATTCACCCATGATTTCTGACGCTTATGATTCTCAAAATATATCCATTTTTCATCACCTGTCATGATACGATAGACTTTCTTTTGTATCTGTCGAGCAGCATTTCACAAGTGGTTTTTCGATTTTCTTGCTGTTTTTCATTCAGTTCATGCGGAACCCATTTTCCCACTTTCTGAATCTTTCCCATGGCTTTCAAACGAATTGAGACAGCTTTCTGCGTCACATTCAATTCATCCGCGAGTTCTTGTTGAGTTTGAGTATCATCTTCATCCAATAAGGCTTGCAATTCGTTGTCTGCGAACTTTTTCGGTGCTTTCCCACGCTCTTCGTTTCTCACGTCAAAATCACCACTTTTGAATTTTTTTAACCACTCGAAACACTGTGTTTTACCGAGAGCATGTTCACCGTAAGCTTCGACAAGCATTCGATGCGATTCTTCAGCAGTTTTCTTCAAATGATAACAAAAACCAATGCTGTCCGCAAATCCGTAGTTCGTAGGCAAAAAACTCGACATGTTAAGGTTATAGAAAAATATACCGATATATAAAACTTGGGTTGTCGTGTGTTGAAAATCTTCGTCAGCTGTTAGAGGGAGATGATGGCGCTGCAGAAGCGGTCTTACGGTCCCTAAACTGATGGCTAGCACTAACTATAGGGAAATTCCGGTTTCATACTTCTACACCTGGTACATATCCAATTGTCACCATTTCATATGATGTTTTAGAATATTATGCGTATTAGTATATATAATATATAAATATTAGTAAAAATAATATTACATTGTTAGAATTCTAGAAAAACTTTATTACAGTTGGATTCTTATTTTGTAACGAATATGTGTTATATGATATTCTAGATATTTAGTAAAACATACTGGGGTCATCTTGTAGAAGTTCTCAGTATGTACCACTTCGGACGTAGGAATATGAATTCTCTGAATATCGCAGTACGTATTTCGAATATTAATGCGATATGTACAATTTACGTTTGCGATATACTGCGTACATACTCAGGAATTATCTATGTTGTATGACACGTGAATACTTCTACATTTGTTATCTTTCATACAGTATGTGCGATAGATCAGCCATATTTAATTGAACGATTCACAAAATATCGTGAAATCATTGTTGTGCCAGCAACAATATTAGCATATTCAATATGCAGTTTCTCAATTAGAAATAAATATATTCGTCGATTAAACACAAATATTTTTTCGCATCACGTATGATGTGTATCAGTACAAATAGTTCGTTAATTGATACTACATTATGGGACATTCTTCTGGGCTTATCCGTTTTTTTTAAATATTGTTCAAATTATGCGCTCTTATAGAGCCAGTAACATGGCTGACCCTCACGTGATCGATTACCTCCGCATCAAAGGGGCCGATAGTATATAGTTAAACTGTAGTTAAACTGTGCAGTGTAGCGGTGGCGCGGCAGTGAGCTGCTCGACCGCGCCCTTCGCGCTCGAGGAGCCGAAGGAATTATATAGATATATCTCACCGCTCTATATATCGCGTTAGAATAAAGCCAAGAAAAATCCCGATTGACCACGTTGCAATTGACCACCACTAACCAGCCGCGATTTGGAAGTTTTCTTGAGTGTGGTCAATCGGGTTCCATCCATTCGTGCTAGAATTAAGTTATCAGAGTATAGGGAATATATAATCGTTCGAACCTCATTGACCTTCGCATGCACGCGCGTGTTTCGAGACACACTGAGGAGCATCGTCGACCTGTGGTTGGGTCCCTGTGTGCACATGACCTTCTCTCTCTCTCTCTCTCTCTGACATCGCTGAGAATCGACGCTCCCTCTCCATCCTCAGAGCGTTCGCAGGAATAGCAGCAAACAAGCAAACGGTGGAATTGTAACTTTCATTACTGTTCTAATTATGTGCTGCTAATCACAAAAATTAAATATTGTATTTTATAATCATTATCACATGCTTATCACCAATGTTGCATATCAACCGAATTATAATTATCGATGAAGGTTAATTAGGCTATTATACAATGATTCCATAATTTATCCACATTAAGAAGATGCCAAACAGCGCTTTCGCGATTCTGTCGATCCAAATCATTCTAAAGTCACTAAAAATAAAAACAATTATATTTATATAAACAATAGTCACACGAGTCGCGTAATTATTTTTTAATAATTTTTGAAGTGAGAAATTCGACGATACTAGTTAAAATTATGTCACATATACACATACACACGCACGCGCGCACGCACATCTTTCTACATGTTGAATGTAATCGTATTTAATTATGCAATTCACAAGATATCGTGAAGCCATATTTTGCTACAACAGACAACTGTTTCAATGAGAAGTTTGCGACATTAACTTCTTCTGTGTATGTACACGTGGATTTAATACAAAAATATTTTCACATGATGTATAATGCATACCTATAGAGGATGTTTCTTAATTGACATCACACATATACATCCTGTATGCATTATACATTTGTCTTACGTTGCTTTTTGATAATTGTCGATTCTTAAATGTTCTGCGTGTAAATCTGTCACGTTCTTTCTTAACCTCGCTTTCAAAACTCAAAAGTCGTCGTCAACGGTTTAGTTGTAAATTGTTTCCAAAAATTGTTTGCTTACTTAGTGATATGTGACAATTTCTTTATTATTTTATAATACAATATATTGCACATTCAATTATCGTGATAATCTTAATTTACAACAATGAGATCTCCATGAAAATATTTTTTATGGATTATTCTTGATGATTAATCGTAAATAAAAATCAGTACGTCTTGCATATTGCGAATATAATGCAAGCCGTAAGAAAAGTTAAAACTTCCAATGACGACGCTCGCAATGTGAAGTATGAAATGAAAATGTACGATGGCTGTTACTATTAAAAATAACAATCTCTGAATAACAACTATAAGATATATCAATTATTAATTTAATAAATTTAGTTTCAACTTAAGTTTAATTTTGTTAACTTAAATTTAGTTTTAATTTAAATGACTTATTTGTTCTCGTTAAATATCACTCAGTTTCCGGTCTTTTCTCTTTATCAAGATTCTTCCGTTTATAGAGATTCTATTTGGAATGACATTGAAAAAAATATAACCGCCGAAGCAGAAACTGAAGCAGAGAACGAAGACGTAACTAAAGATGAAGAAACAATCAGGAGAACGACAAGGATGGTGGCTTTCAAAAGCCACGCACCTTTACTTTTGAAATCCGAAACCGAGTATGATGAATATGAGGAAGATGAAGATGCACAAATTTCGGAAGCAAAGAAGCCATCGCGTGTCTCGTTATTAGTAAATCCTTGTTTAGTTAGATTATTCTGCTACTCTTATTTATTTAGTAAAAAGTTAAATTTCAATGAAATTGATTATTTTATTTTTTCTAAGAAAGGAGAAGATAATTTGTTGTTCTAGAATTACTTTAATAGTAAACATATAATTTTTTCTTAACCTTTACAATATATATATATATGAATTTATTCAATCGAGAAGTTCGGTTTGATTTTTAAGTCAAATTTGACTTTAAATAAATAATTCTTGGGCATTATATAAAATTAATTACTTTATTTTATAGTTTTGACTAGTAAAAGTTGTGTTTTTAAGAACATAAATATTTAAAAATTAATATTTTATTTATTAACACAACAAAATCATGTCAAAACTTAAAAATTTTCACCAAATATATCACGAATGTAAATAAAGTGGATAATCACGCTCATCCATATTTTCAAATTATGCTATTTAATGTAACATTTCATGGCTTTTACTTCCTTCTTTCCTGCCATTATAAATTGTCACACAAGCTATTAGATCCTTCCGTTGTTGAATAGCCTTTCAAACACATTAATTGGAAAGTATAATTATGTCTTGCGATAGAATTTTAAATAGAAGTTACGACAATCATTTATATTCATATCAAATCTATTAACATATCTCCCACAAATGATACGAAAATTTCATTCTCACTACAACGTCTATTGATTTGTTTCAGATAGGGGAATGGACTGCAAAACAGGTAATTTCATTTTTACACCGTCATGCTTTCCAATGCCGCTATGCAATGTCCAATATAAGAATTTTTTTAAATAATCCCAAGTTAAGTCTTCTCATTGGACAACTTTTGGTTATTTTATCAGCTGAATTATACCGAGTTCTGAATTACACCGAGAAAAAGTGCTTGAACTATATAGAAGCCAAATTACATGTCAGTTTTATTGTCTAAAATTTTATCAGTTTATAATAATTTATTTTAATATATTAATATACTAGTATCCACATTTTCAACGTTCATCTTCGAACACATTATTGTGTTTTGTCGTTGCACAAAAAAGACATCGAAAGAAAGTGCATAAAAAAGACAATATCAATATTTTAACTTATTATATATTGACAATAATATGACAACTATATAAGTTCGTAATGTCTTGGCAACTTTGTAGGTACAAGTCATAGTAGCTCTCACATGACGATTTCATTAAAGTGAAGGATCATTACTTCGTTCGATTTAGACGAAGCCTCCAAAAGTCAAAAAGATGAGGAAGAAATCGCGCAAAGCTCTCGAAAGAGAGCAAGCGGCGTCCGCGGCTGCAGCCGTTGAAGCTGAGGAGACCAGGTGAAATACCGAGGATATGAAATTCAATTTGCTTAGATTACACGAAACGATATTCATGTGCGAATATAGATCAGCATCAAAATAAAAAATTGATGTCTCGGCGAGTACCTATAATCGCACGCGTTATCCTTGCGTGATTTATCAGCATATTAATTAAGCATTCATTCGAAGGGCACAGATAATCAAAGACATGCACGAAGAGATTCGATGGGAGAAGTATAATGCAGAGAGACAAGTGTCACTCGAAGAGAAAGAGGCTGCAATGCGCGAAGTTCAATTGGAAAAGACCTGGCATGCCCTTCAGGATCATGAAGGCGCCTTCGTGAAATACGTAACTGATGCCGAGAAAGAGGAAAATGTAAACATCGTCCTCTCTTCTTTTGTATATTTACGGGACGAAAAGTATGTTAAAGGAGCTCTTGACTGAATCGCCAGAAACGCTGCGTATAGAGTATATTACCGAAGTGAAAAAAATTCTTCTTTTCTTTCTTGCGAAAATTTATCTTCGGAACGCGTTGACATGGGATCTTTAGCTTCACATTATCAGCTTTATCAAACGAACTTCTTCATATGTAACATCAAGATTCGACGAGTTAATAACGAGTGTGTAACGGGCTAACTCTTTTCAGTGGATCAGGTACATGACTTGCGACGGATTGCCGGATCCCGGTAGCTTATCAGAGATGAATACTTTTGTGTTTTTGTGGTCCATGGAAGACAAGGAAGTTAATATGAGCAACTTCACCAGAAAATATTACACTGTTATTTATGTGCGTAAATCTTTGTAATTGTTATATCCGTTATACAGCGAAAAAGATAGATAACCGAACAACAACAGAGTGCACTCGACCGGAATGCGACGAGCTTAAACACTTTTTCCCGTCTCAATCGTACATCGGTGAAACTTTAACCTAAGTTTAAGAATTCTTCAGATAAAGACTTAATTATTAAACTCATCGATGTTGACAGAAACTGGCGTTCGACAGCATACATAATGGACGATTAGATGTCCAACTTTAATAAACTGTTATCATTAATTCGTAGACGAAATATAATTGAAGAAAAGACGCCGTTCTTTTCGTCATCTTTTCATATAAGGATAACGATCGAATCTCTCTTCGCAGCTAATAACGAAACTTGACGAAATAGTGCGATTCTCTTTGATGAGATCGCCCAGCTACCTATTCGAGTGCAAGGTGGTAAGTCGAATCGATTGAACAGTAGTTCTTGCGTAAATGTAACGGGGAGTCAACGTTATCCTCGAAACATGAGATGGTCGCATTTTTAATAGATCCGGCAACGATTTCGGGACAAGCTTCAAGAATGGATGGACATGGCGTGCTACGCTCTGTTGCGGCAAATAGAGAGAGACATGGTCCGCGAGGACACGAAAACGGCGACGTACAGTAGCGTCTCGAAGCACGTCAGTTGTTGTATCTGGGTCCTGATAAAGTGGCCGATTAAACTTAAACAGCCCACCGACAAAGATCGGTACGTATTGTTTCGACATGACCTTGCATTGATAAAACACCAACACAGTCACTTCCATTCAAAAAGATATTAAATATTGTGACAGATAAATTTAATTTATTCACATATTCACTCAACGGAAAAAAAGACCTTTTGGCGTACAAATTTCAGGACGGAGGAAGTTATACGAATTGTTGGCGCAATAATTGATATAGTTACTGACCAAATTGCAAGCATCGAATCAATTGATAACTAATCACAGCAATTCTATCATTTGTCCACTTGGACTAAACGGTTGAGAGAATTGTGTTTATTTTTAGCCAAAACTTCGTTTATTCCACCACTTTATTTTCTCAGTCTACATAAATAAATGTCATGTGTTTCTATACAGGGTGTCCCAGACCACCCGTCTCACCCGATTTTTTCGTAAACGCCACATTTTAAAGAAAAATGTTTCAGACAAAAGTTTTGTAACTTCGAGGGGCACATAAGATGGTGTCATTGGTTTGACCTTGGATAGTCGTTTGAAGATCACGTAAAGGTCACCTTTAATTTCTTAAATGGAAACCCCCATTTTTCAATGCATATTCTTGTAGCTTACCTCAAGAGCTTTCCAAAACGCTATAATGAAACGTTTTTTTAATCAGTACTTTTCGAGTTATGAGGGTTGAAAGTTACGGTACCGCCGGCATTAGCATTACCCAAGGTGGAGGTTGCACGGTCGGATTTACACCTCTTTGTGTGTTTGTGTGTTTGTGTGTGTGAATGTGTGTGTGTCAACAGAGATAAGGACCCCACGGTTGTTTGTTTTCATGGAAAATTCGCCAGATCGTGCTGCGACTAATTCCAGAATCTCTTTCTGTACGTCTTAATGAATGGCAGGGATGCAATTGAGCGGATGCAAGAATCTCCGGCATCCTTTCATCTCTAACTTGGCGTCGAATTTATCTACCTTTATTGTGATCCGGTTGAAGAATACCTTTATTGGTAATTCGGTTAGCTAAGCGAGAAAACACTTTGTACGAATGAGGAGCGCGATCTGGGTATCGTTCTCGCCACAATCTTGCAGCTGCTCTAAATTGACCATCACATTCACCTAAAATAAGCATCATATCACAAGCTTC